ATACAGCGAAAAACCCTGACAATTTTGGTGAGCGTGAATTATAGCGTTAGCCTCAGCATGAACGACATACGGATATTAACTATCTACATATAATCGCATACTCTTTTTCGCCACATTTGGAACAAACGAGGCAATTAACTTCTTTTTCAGAAATAACTTGTTTATGTCGACATTTTTTTTGAATTTTTTTCATTCTCTTAATCTCAATAATTAATAATTCTTTTATTGCCAACTAGCCTATGGCTTCGGTATAGTATTTGAGCCCCCTTACATTCTCGGCACTGCTCGACTAGACTAGTGAGCTATGACGCACTCTTTAAAGGATGGCTGCTTCCAAGCCAACCTCCTAGCTGTTTTAGTCTCACAACTTCCTTCTACACTTAATACTATTTAGGGACCTTAGCCGATAATCTGGGCTGTTTCCCTCACGTCCATGGAGCTTATCCCCCACAGACTGACTACCAGATAATAGACAATGGTATTCGGAGTTTAATTAGAGGCGGTACCCGGTTAAAGGCCCTTCTCTATTCAGTGCTCTACCCCCACTGTTTTCACTCTGGCGCTAGTCCTACAACTATATCGGGGAGAACCAGCTATCTCTAGGTTCGATAGGCATTTCACCACTAACCACAAGTCATCCGAGGTCATTTCAACGAACACCGGTTCGGCCCTCCATGAGGTTTCATCCTCACTTCAGCCTGCTCATGGTTAGCTCACCTAGTTTCGGGTCTATAATCATTGACTAATCGCTCTATTAAAACTCGCTTTCGCTACGGCTCCATTTCTCAAGAAACTTAACCTTGCCAATAATTATAACTCGCCGGCTCATTCTGCAAAAAGCACGCCATTAGGCTTTAACGCCCTTTGACTTCTTGTAAGTGTTATGGTTTCAAGTTCTATTTCACTCCCCTTCCGGGGTTCTTTTCAACTTTCCCTCACGGTACTAGTTCACTATCGGTGACTAATGAGTATTTAGCCTTACGGGGTGGCCCCCGTGGATTCCCACAAGATTTCACGTGTCTCGTGGTACTCAGGATGAAATGCAGAGGACTATTGATTTCGAATACTGGACTTTCACCTTCTTTGGTGTGGCTTTCCAACCACTTCTTCTATCAATAACTTTGATAACTCTTGATATTAAAATCAGCATTTTCCTACAACCCCAATTTACAAACATAATTGGTTTGGGCTATTCCCAGTTCGCTCGCCACTACTACGGGAATCACTAATTTGTTTTCTTTTCCTCCGGATACTAAGATGTTTCAGTTCTCCGGGTTCGCTTCTAAGTATTATGAGACTCAGA